AGAACATATTTAATTGGAACAAGAAATCATGATTCTTGATTCTTTAAAATGTTATTAGCAGCTATATTTCAAAATTATTGGTGATATTATAATGAGCTAAAGAATTTGCTTTAGCATTGAGCCAATGAAAGCAAATGAAACAAACTAGAATTGGCTTTGAAATTGAGTAAAGCTAGAAGTATGCAACAGATGTACCTTCAGGACCCTAGAAATGTATGGTTAAATTATAGTATCTGCAGCTGAAAAATACTCATAGAAGGAAACATAGACCTTTAAGCGGAAATAGGAAGAGAACAATCCATGTAAAATTTTATTAATAAAAGTAGCTAGAGAAATCAAGGGAAGAACACAAACAAATGCACACGATCACAGGAAAATTGAGAAAGAAAATGATCCAAAACAAGAAAAAAAGTTCCACGTATATATATACACACACAGACACATTATAAGAAAGAAGAAGAGGTCACAAAGATGAGGACCTACAACCTAATGGACCTCAGTCTCCATTTTGAATTATTGGTGCTTGCAGATGCCTGTGGAAGCGAGTACTCTGAGTACATATCCATAAAGAACTTGTCAACAATGTCAAGGTATACAGGACTTTTAAGCCGGGAATAGTAATGAAGTGCCTCCTCTACATCCAGTACATGTTCCATATCACCTGCATCCATCATATCCAGGTCTTTCATCCTTTGTGCTAATGTTCGCCCTTCATTGATATTCCCATTGCATTTCTCTTCTCTCTTCAATGAACGAGAAGCTCTTGATTTCTTCTCGTCCTTTCTTCTCTCTTCACTTTTCTTCTTCACTGTACTCTGCTCTGTAAACTGCATGAAGCTTTCCCGACTGCTGTCTTCTTCACTGACTGGCTCTTTGGATACAACTTTGCTGTTCTTCTTTCTCTTGTTATATTTTTCAAGATCAGCAGAGAAGTGATCATAAAATTCATGTGTTGGCTGATTCCTTGAGCTGCTACAGCTGCAGGAAAAGGAGCTTAAGAGAGGGTTTCTGGATAGCTTCTGGTATCTTCCAGAGAAGATTGACTTGAGGTTTTGAAGGGTTTTGTGAAAGAGGCTCTTGGATTTCTCAATGGATTCTCTTAGCAGCATATTTGCCTCTACCACTGCACCACAGGATTTTAGCTGCTACTTTCTGTATTTTCAAAGATGGAAACTGTGTACTCCTCTTCTCTAATAATATAATGGCAAGAAATTGGAATGGTTCACATCTCTCAAGGTTACATGAGGACAGAGGTAAGGGAAGATTTCTTCTCTTTTTGGCTTTGCACTTTCTGTCTACACCCTCCTATATTATCTTGATACCCTGTCCCTCGAAGATTGAATCCTGACCATTGGATTATACCATTTGCCACTTCATATATGTTTATCTGCAAATCTTGTTATGTTTTGAAAAAGGGACTGAAAGTAAGTTCTTAGGAATCCCATCACCATGATATTTGTTTTTTGACTATCTGTTGTCTAAAGTTTAATTGTATTGATTTTATTAAGATGCAAAGTAAAGATAACGGCTTTGTCTAATTCTTCTTTTCTATACATGCTAGTTATTTCTGTTAATCAGTCATAGGATTCACATATCTTATTCCCTATTTGTATGCCACCTGTATCCAAATTCCAGATCCAAAATTACCCAATGGGGCTATATGGCTTTTAAGAGCATGTTTGGGTTTGGTGATTCTGATCTTGATTGATCATCTACCCTAATATCCATTATAGGTGGAAAAACCTTCACTGCATTTATAGGAGAGACTTGGGTATGGTCCCCAATTTATGGTGGCTTCTCAGTGTACTTGTACGACAGAATGTATATACAAACCCTAATTCATAACAAGATAAGATTCATTTTGTTTCTTGTGCAATTCAAGTCACTTTCTCACAGTTTTGCCTTACACAAATAGCTTCACCCTTTGGCAGTTTTTTCTTGCTCCAGCTGCTTCAAATCTTATATCCCTTTTTCTTTTCACCTCCCTTCATCAGAGAACCAAAATACCCAAATCAGATATCTAGTTAGATCTGGGCCTAGTTGGTTACCTTGCCTCACTGTCTGATTGTAGGACTGCAAGACTCCAACCACTTTGGAACAAGATGGGTATTCTCATAATTTAGGTTTCTCAAGTAAAGAAAAGTGTAATTTAATTCAAATAAATACATATAAATATAAGACTTCAGATCCAAATCCAGATTTGGTCGCAATCATGTTGCTATAAAGATTCTGAAAATTCATGAGAAGAGTAAAAGATATACAGGTATGGACAGATGAATACTTTGGCCCCATGTGTTGGAGGCTCTGGGACCTTCCATGCAAATTTCTGAAGCTAAAGCTGCTGTTTGTACCCTCAGGTTTTAAAAATTAGATTGAAGTAGTAACACTAACATCTTTTTTATTCAAAATCAAAAGAGACAATTTAGTTGTAGTTAGATTTGCCACATGATTGACATGTAGAAGAGCATAAAGAGATACCATTGTATGTGCACAAGGAGAGTCCATTTAACAGCAAAACTCGTCAATGGAATCAAAATTTTCTTTGGTAAAATTTCCTCCCCTGGTTCACTTAATAAGACTGAAAAAGCACTTGCCTCGTTTTAACGAATATCAAGTGGGAAGTGATATACGGATTAACAAGGTTGCTCATAAAGTTTCTATCTCTGGCCTACTCCTCATAACTTTTGAGAACATTTTCTCTGTTGATTTATGTATACATTATAATTAACTTATTTCTCTACTCTCTGTGAAACCACACTCTTCTTTGATAGGAAAAATTGTGACAGAAGCCTATGGACTTCACCATATTTCATGGGTGCAGAAACAAGACGATCTTTAATCCACTGTGGAAGCTTGTTGACTGGGTGAGAGAAGCTTCTTTTTGATGATTCTTGCACGTACCGAGAGTCAACCAACAAAATTGCTGCATAATCATTTATGTGCCGAATTGCTCTACCTAAAGCAGGGGAATCATGGAATTCATCAAAAGCAATTTCATGATAAACTCACTTAGATGCCACTAATGAAAGCAGGGAAAATGGACCAAAGAGAAGTAACTAAATGCATAAATGCAGTGTTGTCTCGGGCCATTAATTGGTCAAAGTGCCAAAGGGGCCAGTATAATGGAGTTCACGTGTATCAGATGTTGGACATATTATGGCATCCTAAATGTACCCACTTGCGTCTTCCATGGACAAAGATAAAATTTGATGCAAATGTTTAAGAAGGGCAATAATTTTTGATAGGGCAATAACTGACTCAATATGACTGCTATCATGACAACTGGGCCTGTGGAGTTATTGCTTGTCTTGATAGAACTATTGAACCTAATTCTCTGAGATAATGAGCATAGTTAACACTCACCAATGGATTGATTTACGGCTTTCATGCAAAGGTTTTCATAATATTCTTTTCCTCGTCGCCTGCACCTTCTGAGTAGGCTGAATCCGTCATGAACATCTCCACTGTGGTAATCATCTGTAACTAAGAGTTCAGTTGAATTTGAATACCCTATACCTTCAATGTGCTTAATCCTTTCTAACAATTCAATGTCAGCTGGGTTTGGGTAAGGCAGTCCAACCATGACTATACATCGACCCATCCCATCGCTGAAGTTGATGCCTTCTGATATCTTTCCACCAACTACAGCTAGGAGTATAGCGCCATTTTGAACCACTACGCCTCTTTCTCCATTACATATTTTATCTATTTTTTCCTTGTATTTTGTGAGAACAGATTCTACATCTTTGCTTCTTCTGGGTTCCCTGAATACACACTTCTTCTTTGACATCCTTGCAAGGATGCCTGAATTCTTCCATCCTTCATAGACCTGGTCTTCATATTCAAAAGAGGAGAAGAACACAACAATTCCTTCTGGAACCACCGTCACCAAATTGCAGATCAAGCGCCCTAGCTCCTCTATCTGCAGATTTTAGACCGGCAGCACAAATAAGCCATCATTCTGACAATACAAAAATGTTATAGAACTGCTAGACAAAATTGGTTTCTGCTATAGTATTTGTACCAGCAGTCCACTAAATATGAAAAATTTGGCAATGTCGAGACAGGTTTCCATTAGGTGGATTATAACATGCAGAAATAACTTTAAGCCAATCACTAGAATAGCAGAAGAAAGTAACATCTTGCATGAAGAATTACAGATAAAAGCTCACCATAGTTGACGAGTTTCTTGAGCTGTAACTAAAATCAAAACACCGACCAGATGGGCCTTGAGAAACTGCAACTGGCATTATGCTATCTGGAGGGATAATGTGCCCACATGAAAAGAACTGCACCTGATTTGATGGTAACCATGGAAAAAGTCTCTCCCTTGTCTCTTCTATTGGTTGGAGAGTACCACCTGCCAGTATGACTGCATGCGCTTGATCCACTATCTGCAAGAGACTACTCATTTTTTATGGAATTTCTTGTCATCTTCAATAAAATCTACTTTCCTTCAAGGCTATGAGATCCAAACACAGCTTAGAAGAAGATTTGCGCTAACCTCTGAAAAAATCTTCTGTCCAGTGAGCATTACATATTTTAAGGATCCTGCTTGTTTTTCAGAGGCCATCAATCTTGCCCTTGAAATTATTATCCGTCCATCACCATCATTATTTGTCAATGACAGCAAAAAATCCACAAATGCTCGAAAACTAGATAGTGTACTTGCCTCCTCAGAACTTTTCCCATCAGCATCAACCATCAATTCTTTCTGCAAGCTAGCCATTTTATCTCCATATCCACAGACCTAGTAAGACAATTACACTGTGACCAAAAAATGTGTATTACAGAAGAAAATAAGTTGAAAATGATAAAAGAAAAATGATTAACTATAGGGACATTCAAATCACCTTGTGAATGATATTGCTTTCCCTTATATACTCTAGCAATTTGAAAAAATTAATGTTATCAATATTCAAAGAAAATAAAAAATCATTTATGGCCATAGAAAAGTCAGAAGTAGGTTTGACTCCAAGAGTCTTTTCTGTCTCTCGGCAAGTATTTAGATAATCAGCATCATTGTTATTGAGTAGAACTTGGAGGAACGCCTTGGTAAGGAACATGAAAGTTTGGATGTATCTTCGATTTCCAGGTCCCAAGAGGGAGCGAAATCTTCTAAAATACTTCTCTATGTTGTGATGTACATTCTCCAACTGAAAGAAGAACATATAAAGCCATTACAAAACTATTATCTCCAATTTTCATCAACCACCTCTAAATATCAAAATCAAAAGGGTTAACATGTTAGTGGAAATAAAGCTTCTAATTCAAAGTGGATCTCAAGAAAAAAAAAGGAAGTAGATTGCAAATCAATCTATTATGAGTCAATCATTTGTTACTAAAAGGCGTTTATAACACTACTTAAGGAGCATCCAACAACGTCAGAAATTTTTGGGAGATAAAAAACACAAAGAAAACATGTCAGAATATGAGAAAAAACTTGCTAAGGAAGTAGCACTTCTAGGCTATGTAAAGGTCACAGTTTGTTTACCTGTGACAAAGTAACTTTTGCATCGTACATTCTTGTAAGAGAGTCAGCCAGGTTGTGAGCTTCATCTATTATAACAATATTATTCTTCAAATCCAGACCAAGTGACTCACGTGATGATTTTGATAGAAGAGATTGATATGGAAGAACTACAAGGTCAGCTACTGGGAATATACTTCGGGAGCCATAATACGGGCAAGTTCCTATATTTCTTCCAAGTGAAACAAGATCTTCAATGTCCATTGCTCCTTGTTGAGAAATCTTATTCTTGAATTGTCTGTGCAGTTTATGTTTCCTAAGCATTGGGCATCCACAAGAAGCCTTGGATTGGCGAATTGTTCCTTCTGCATCTACATTCTATAAATAAATATTGCCATATCAAGAAAGACCATCCATTTCCTGCAACATATATTGTGGATGTTGTTTTGAACATGAAAAGGTAAAAATGCTTCTGACAGGGGAGATGAAGTGTGAACCAGAAACCAGGAAAATAAGATTCTATTCAGTATGAAAGTCTCTAACTATAACTAACGTATCTGAAAAAATGGAACAGTTAGGCTTAGATTTAAAAGAAAAAAATTAGCAAAGGGCATATCTATTACTAAATGCTTTTACTTCTAAGTTAACTTTGTATGTGCTCAAAAAGAAAAGTGAAAGCAGGAGAACGAATTACCAACCACACAGCCACAGTCCGAATAAGAAATTATTGAGAACAGGTTATTACATATCTCGGAAAATTTCTCAATCTTCTATCTTAATACAAGAGAATAAATCTTCCTAAAATTATGGAGTACCGTTAGAGAATCCAACCTATATGAATATTTGATTTTATTTTATTTATTTTATTTGCTATAATTAGTTTCCTACTTTCACTTTGTAAAAGCTATATATAACCGTGCACATGGTCGTTCTCAATATATAAAAAATTCAGTTTCTCTTTAAAATCCATAAGCATGAGAGCCTTTTTCTCGTTTCAGGATTTCTTTCGGTCTTCGTAGCCATTTATACTCTTGTTTTTCTATTTAAAAGACCAATGGAGTGCGCAGCCTTGATTTTTTTTTAAGTGGCTCCAGCATGCATCCATCCTAGTGCATGCCTGCTCTTTTTGCACATACCCGTGCAGGATAAAACCCATCCTACTGCATTATCTCTTTTTCTTTATTGTTTTTCTCATGGCTTCATTATTGCAAAGTTGATGCTATCCTTCATTGCTAGCTTGCTCGCTGGACTTGTATTCTCTGTCAGCAACCTTAATCAGCAGAATCCTTGTTGGACCCCTCTGTTGTCAGGTCCTTGTAAGAGGAGACCTGATGCACCATTCTGGTGAAGATGTTAAAAAAGGAAAGATGATGCTGTTTTCAACACCACTAGTCAGATAAAAAAAAGTTTCTATCAATCAACAGTAAGGGGTCTCCAAAATATTCCGATAACATATAAATTGAATGGAAAAAATTATGTCAAGTAGTCTCAAATTATTTCAACCTATTTGAAGAGAAAAGGGAAACTCCATCACCTCCTAAAGACGGACCTAATGAAGGAGATCCAAAATTTGACACATGGGATATAGTAGTTCGACAATCATGTCATGGCTATGAAACTCAATGAATCCTGATATTAGCAAAACTTACATATCTTTGATGGGTGTTGCTTGTTCTACATACATATTTGAAGGCTCATGTTGCAACACAAATGTATGAGATCAAAGTCAAAACTAATGCTGCTGAACAGGAAAACTATGGCCTACACAAATCTATTAGAGTCTATGGCAAGAACTTGACCATCATAAATGCATCGAAACTAAGTGAACAGAAGATGCTACAATTTTGAAGAGTTATGCTGAAAAGATAGAGTTTAAGAGATTTGCACGTCTTAGTGTTGACTTTGATTAAGCTAGGATCTAAAGAAGAGGTACATCTCTAAATGAAAGTATTTCTTTAATTAGAGCGAAAGTCACCGGGGGACTACGCTTGAATCCCAAGTCTAAGAAGATTCAACAATGGTAACAAAACAGAAAGACTGCCAATATAAAAGAATGTGACGGCCAAATTTGTCAAGATCAAGAATGGACAGTAAGGGTTCTCTCTAGTGTACATATTGCAAAAAAAACAAAGGCATCATGAAGAGAACTATCAGAAACTGAATGGAATTCACGAAGTATTCAGTGAGGTAAACAAAGAGAAAGTAGAAAAATCAAGACCAAGTCAAATTCACCATAAATCAGCTGAACCAAGGAAAATCTCAGGACAAACAGTTTAATGAAGAGGAGACTGAGAAAATAAGGGGGCTTCTAAAATCATTGGAGAAGCCTAGTGGTGCATGCTCTCCTGCACTCTCAGGTAAGTTTATTATTTTGCAAAATCCAACTGTCTCAGATGAATCTATTAGGAACCTGTTGATTATTGATTCAAGAGTCAGATCATACGACTCGTTTTTCACCAAATTTTAGCACTTATACCTCCTGGCCAAATAAATTGAAAGATAATTGTTGTAGATAGTTCCCTCAATATCATAATTGGTCTAGGAGATACTCGTATCAGTCTGCCTGCTGAAGAGTTGACAACGCAGTTTTGTCCTTAATTCAGGTCTTAATCCAAAGAATAATGTGTTGTGAGAAACTTGTATTAGTGGACAAGCCATTTTACGTTATATTTATGTCATTTCAGGTTGCTTAGTTTAGTTTACTAGGTAAATTTTTGTGTTCTTTAGAAAACATTAGTTGTCATGGACAGCATGTATGCATTTAAACATTTTCTAATGAAGAAGAATTAGATTCAAGCCTCAGATTTTTCTTCTCCTTCTACTCTCTCCATTGTTTTCCGTTTGCATGTTTTCCAATTTTCTGTTTATGTCCATACACGCACATAGAGCTAAGAATCAAAAAGTGGTACCAAAGTTCATAAGCTCTTTGCAGGACCAAAAACAAGAATATTTTTATGTTGCAAAACCACCAAAACCAATCCACCAAACATCATAACTTGGAAAGTACAGCCTCAAACAGTTCATGGAGTGTTCTTTCACCAACTTTCAATGGAGAAAGTTACCAGTTTTAGGCCAAAAAAATGGAGGCTCTTTTTAAGGGGATTGACCTATAGGAAGTTGTGGAAGTTGATGAGGATCCCTACTTAAGAGCAAACCCAACTGTGGCAAAAATGAAGCCCCTAACAAAGGAGATGGCCAACGAAGTACAAGGTCCTTTCCTTTATTCACCTGCCTGTATCCAAAACAATATTTGTGAGGATTGTCTCCTAAAAATGGACAAAGAAGCTTAGGCCAAATCAAGGAAGAGTTCCAAGGAAGTAAGAATAGAAGCTCTTTTTAAGGAGGATTAACCTATAGGAAGTCATGGAAGTTGATGAGCATCCCTCCTTAAGAGCAAGCCCAAATGTGACACAAATAAAGCCCCTTGGAAGGAGATAGCAAAAGAAGTACAAGGCCCTTTCCTTTGTTCACCTGCCTGTATCCAAAACAATATTTTTGAAGATTATCTCGTAAAAACAGACACAGAGCCTAGGCCAAAATCAAGAAAGAGTTCCAAGGAAGTAGAAGACCAAACAAATGCAAATAATTCAACCTAAGAAGAGAATTTGAAGTCCTTAGGATGAGTTAATCTTAAACGACAATGAGTTCATGGCTAGAGTAATGGAAGCATGAAAACTGTAAAACAAGTGATGTTGCTTGGAGAGGAGCTAACGGATAAAAAGGTGGTGGACTAGGTGCTTCCAGAGAGGTTTGAAGCCAAAATCTCCTTCCTTGAAGACCCGAAAGAGTTTTCCAAGATGATTTTCACATATTTGGTGAATGTTTTCCAAACAACCAAGCAAAGTAGGTCCTTGAAGAGAAAGGGGGCTGTTGAAGGAACTTTCTAGTGAAAAACAAAAGCATGACTGAAGGAAACACTGCTGGAGGCAGAGCATGTGGAGAGAAGGAGAAACCAAGAAGTCTGCAAGGGAAAGGAAGGAGAAAAGAAGAAACTTCTACATTGTCCAAATTGCAAAAAAACCAAACACTAGGAGAAATATAATTGGTTGGCCCTGGAGTCTAGCGCAGGTTTTTAAAGGCTTTTGGACATATGGGAAAAGTGTATAAATGAAGATGCAACCCTGAACAGAAGGCTCAAGTTGCTGAAGACAAAGAACAGCAGGAAGAGAAGCTATATGTGACTACCTGCTATTTGACCAGCACCAGCATTGAGTCGACTAACTGATAGTAGGTATAGCCATCATATCAAACCTGATCAAGGTCTGTGTGAAAGGCATGACAGATCCTATGCTTCTAATGACAGAAGTTGCAGTGGGGAGAGCTTGGAAGTTTTTTTTGTTCCTGATCAAAATCTGTTTGAAAGGCTTGACAGATCATGTCCTTCTACTCTGTGTGAAAGGCATCATATCAAACCTGATCAAGGTCTGTGTGAAAGGCATGACAGATCCTATGCTTCTAATGACAGAAGTTGCAGTGGGGAGAGCTTGGAAGTTTTTTTGGTTCCTGATCAAAATCTGTTTGAAAGGCTTGACAGATCATGTCCTTCTACTCTCTTCTCTATTCTTTGGTTCTATGATTTTCTGGTTTTTATTCTGTCCATACACACAAAGTCGGCCAACACCATCCCATGCATCAAAAAATGCTCTTCATGTCTCCATATTTTCCACCAAGCTCATATTCATAGCAACACTTACTCACTATATAAATTGTAATGTACTTTTCTATCCTTCTTACAGTATATTCCAAGACCAGATTTCAAGGAAGAGTATTGAACTTGTTAGGGAACAGAATTGACTCTGCTATTATGAAGAATCAGGAAACTTATGGAATTTGAAGTGTTCCTCTAACACAAAAAGAGGAATCTGCAACATCATGAGTCCATTTTATTTTTTGAGTATATCTAAAAATTCAAATGGACTTCTTCATTTTGATGCACTTCTTTTGTGCATGACTTTTAAGGTTTTTAACAATGTTATAAGTTTATGTAGTTTTCTCATGAATAAGTTGTTGAAATGTTTGTCTAACATAAGCACATAAACTATAAGAGTTACTTTTGTGTTTAGTGAAGATGTAACTCATAAACTGTTAATTCTGTTAAATTGGAGAAAAAATTAATTTCACTATTCTAACATATAAAGCTGCCACAATGTACTTGTATCATTTTATTCATACTTTAAACTAATTGAAATGTAAATTATTATTTTTATTCCAGAGTTATTTTTTTATTTTATATTCACACTTAGTTATCACCTTGATTACTAATAATGTGAGACATATAATTCATTCGAAAAATAAAATTACGTTAAATGATTATTTCAATTTCATCTTAAATAAAATTACATATATAGATATTTGCTTTATAGTTTGAAAGCAAATTAACAAAATATTTTTTTTCTGAAATAAACAAATTAACAAAAAATGATGAAGAGAACATAAGCCACAATGAAAACAAAAATTATGTGAATATTAGGGATATAGGTTAGAAATTTTAAAATTGTTAACTGGTAATTTAGATCTTTGTTGGATAGGTTTTTTTATTTTATTTTTGAGAGTTTATAGGTTCTCTAAAGAAATTAGGAATGCTACGTTTCTAAAACATTATTCGCTCATAAGCTGTCTAACTTGTAAGCTTTTTGGTATTTTCCAAAATGCATAAAAAAATTTAAAACATTGTTCGAAAGTTCATAAGGTCCTATTGACCAGCTTATAAGGTGAACCAAACATCTTCTCCTCTAAAGCAATTAAATTCTTGGGTAATGATTTAATCATTCTTTAGTAGGGGACTAACTGTTATCCTCTCCTATATATATCTCTACAATATAATGAATAAAATCACACTAACAATTAAATAATAAACTAAGATCAATCACAAGAAGATCAAGGTTTCTTTTTGTCAACTGAGTCATAACTTCACCACATGGAGACAAGGACACGATTTAAACAAACAAGCATTTAGCTTGTTGAATGGTTCCATACTTAGTCATCCCTTGACTAGATCCCAATCCCAGGGTTCTACCACAAATAATACAACTTTTAATCCTAAAACCTGATAAAATCTGCAAAACTATCATTAGTGCAAAAGGTAAGTAAATGAAATACGATAAGACATGATGAATCAACCGTGCAGAAGAAAGAAGTATCTTATACCCTGATTTTGGAAATTGCATTTTTCTTCTTCTTTTGAAGCTCAAAGCACCGTTCGTTAATGTGAATTGTGTTACCAAGTCGTAAAACATCTGAAGTTTAAACCTTACTAAGTGTCATGTGTAGACAAGTCATCAGCTGAATTATTTGAAGACAAGCTTTATCATACCTTTGTTTATACAGAGATTCTTTCGGGAGCCCAAACAGACAACCTTTATTGCATTAGTAAAAGACGTCTTTCTTAACTCCATTATGAACTGTGAAAGCTGTGAATGTGTTCGACTACAAAAGTAAACCTTCAAGCCTTCTTTCTCCTCATCAGACCCATTTTCTTCCTCTTCCTCATCACTGGATGAACCAACAGAAACCCCACCAGCCTTCCTCTTAGACTTCCCACCACTAAGAGCCCCTTCTTCTTCACTCTCATATTCTTCCAACAGAAATTCATCAGTCAACTCCTCTTCATCATTTCTGTTTTGCAAATCCTCACTTTCCTTCTTTGCATGCAACTCTTCCTCTTCAAGGTCGCGTGAGAATAAAACCCTAAAACTTTCACGATTCTGTTGTTTCTCGTGCTTTTTCAATCCAAATTTGAACTTTTCCTTCTTGATTTTCCTCTCAAGTGCTTGATCGTCTTTGTTTATGACAAAGTTTTTCATCCAATCCGGTTCATCATCCGAACCAATTTGATTATCATTTCCTATAACTTTATCAGATTCGTCCGTCATGTCTAACTTCCCTCGTTTCTTACGGTCCACTACCCATTGCAGAGCGCTGCATATAATACTGAGAGTTTTACCAGTCCCTAGTCGAACAGAAACGTTGAAAAGAAGTTAGAATTATCAAAACAGAGTTTTACCAGTCCCTAATCGAACAGAAACGTTGAAAAGAAGTTAGAATTATCAAAGCCTATTATTCATTTAAGAAGAGAACATATCAAGACAAAAGGCTCTAAACCTTTAAATTTCAGATCTAAAACTAATCACAGCCTCAAATTGTACATTTCCTTTTCCTTCAACTTTCTAACGAAACAAACAAATATTTACAACCCAATCCCCAAAAAAAAAAAAAGAAAGCCCCAAAGCATCTATCAATTTAATAAAAATGAGTAAACGACAGAGAAACAAAGGGAGGTAGGTACCAGTTGGGCTTTCAAGCATGGAGACGCCGCCGTTTTCCAGAAAACGATAAAGCGCATTCATGAAATCAACCTGGATTGTGTATGGCTTGTACGGAAATGCAGGAAACTTCAAGTTTTCCATTTTATCGAAAATCAAAATAAGCCTCAGTTCTGGTGCTGTACTGAACAGTAGTGTTGTTAAGAAAAAGGTGTACAGAGCTTTTCGGCTTTTCTCCGAAGCTTTTTCGTTCTTTCCTTAGCTGAGGTTTTTCCCGCGAAAACCAAAAATAAGGAAGGAGTCGTGGGGGTTTGGGTCTTGTCGTGCTAAGACGGATTGTTTGGCTACATGGAATCACATGTTCAATCCACGAATTGTCAGCACCGCCTCAATTAGGAACAGCCATATATCAGATCCAAACAAATTTTACGAAATCTAAACCTGATTCAATGATAAATTGAAGAACTTCAAATCTATCCTATTTCAATATGTATACTTTATAGTTTTTATTAAAATTAAAGTATGTATCATCCTATATTTTAGATATATATTTTATATTTTTAATTAAAATAAAATACATATAATATTTTTTTATACGTTAAGTTTAAATAATTTGTTTATTTTCAAACCTGAACTTGACTAATTCCAACGTGAGAAACAAAAATAATTCAACTAGAACTCACTCGTATAGGGTCTATTTGTTCGAATTTTTTCAAGTAAAGAAAACATAAATTTTTATGTTTTTAAATAAGTTTACATCAAATTCAAATTTTTAAAAAATAATCTACTATTATTTAAAAAATAAATATAAATCAAATTTTCTAAAATATAAATTTTCACTAATAACATAATTTTTAAAAAATAAGTATATTCTAAATCTAATTAAAATTAAATCTTATTTGAATTCAAACTAATAAATAAAATAAATTATAATTTTTACATTTATCTTCAACACTCTCTCTTAATGTAAAAATTATAATCACTAAATTTATTTTGTTGGAACTCTTCTCTCCAATATTTCTTATTTGATTTTTATATTTTGAAATATTTCTCTTCAATTGTTGATACATTTCTCACAAGCTTTTGATTATTGATACATTTCTCATCAATTTTCAATTATTTAATACATTTCTCATTAAAACTCTTTGGAGTACTTCTCTCCAAAGTTTAAAAAAGAGTTTATTCTTTTTTAACAATATTTGTTTGTTCATTTTTCAATATGCAATTTTTTTGTATTTGCACAAATTTTTTACAATAAAAATATTGTGATTTACCTTTATATCAATTATTTTTTTTATTATGATTGTTTTTCTTATATACTCCGCATGGTGAAAATTTTATTCTCTTTAATGTTGATGAAGACTTGTTTGACATTGTGGCTTTGAAAACTCCCTCAATTATTTTTTCATCTCTCATTGATTTTCTTTGCTCCACAGCTTACAATGCATTAATTAATTATGCAACTGTAATTTTTTAGAGATCCTTAAAATATTTAAGTGATAAACTTTTTAACTCAAACTTTTCTAGTAAGCTCACAAGAATCTTTTTAACAATTTTACTATCAGAAAACTCTTTACCAAATAATCTAATTTTGTTAACAATTGTCATGAGCTTATTAATATACTTCTTGATTTCTTGATTCCTTTTAATTCCTTTATCCTTTGAATATCAAATTATCTCTTAATATTCAAAATGTAACGGCTCCGAAAATTTAAAAGGATCGTATATATAAAAATTATAAGTGCGGAAGCGAAATAAAATATTATGTTTAACATCCCTTACACAATAACCAAAACGTATTAAATGTATGAAAGAATAAACTAACTAAAGTAAATACTATAAATGAATACTATAAGAAAAACTATAAAATCTTTTAGGTATCTACTCGCCGTCTTCCTAACCAACGGGCTCGAGAACCAAGTCCTCTTGATCTGAAATGGTTAAGTAAAAAATGAGCTACACTAACCCAAATTAGATGTCACACTATCTCATTGTTACAGAAGTAAAGGTTGGTAGAAAACAAAAACGACCAATGGAGCATAATTTATAATAATTTCATTTATCAATAATAAAACTCTTTTACTATCCACTTACCTTGGTGAGATTCATGAAAAAAACTTATGAAAATAATAACATTATAATATCATAAAATCATACGCACTCTGTAACATAACACATGTCATACTTTTAATATCTCAATCATCAGACAACAAATTTTCTCTTTTACCAGCCTACCAGTATCCATGGGGATCCATAGGGGTTCCCGCCACACGTGAACCATTCATGTTAACAACTTAATTTCAGGGCCGTCCTCATACCTCGTCCGATATGGGCGCTAAAATAATAAACCTCAATACCCCGTCTAGTATGAGGGTGAAGCGGGCTATCTCCATACCTCGTCCGGTATGAGCGCTAAAACATTTAAAGTCTCCATACCCCATCCAGTATGAGAGACAACGTGTCAGGTAGAGTTCCCTATGGACCCGGTCCGTCCACCATCTCCCAAGATGTCTAGTGAGGCTATTAATATATCCATTTATTAACTCAATCCCAGTCCTATTTGTTCTTAGTCTCAATTACCCAATCAAACATGAATAGGTAAACTAGTAACGAACACCAAACAAGGAAAACATAACATCGGGTTTACAATAATCAAACCATAATAAATTAAACAGTGAATTACGCATACAAAACCACAAAATAAATAAATCAGATACTATACTGCATTTAGACTGTAAAATAAATCAAACAAGAACTGACTGAAAAATATATCAGATTCGGACTCCATAGCAACCTTAATTAATTATACATATCTATGAATTCATAAAATACCGTTTTATCATTTATTAGACTTTAATGCCGTGATAAGATATAGGGTAAAAGATCCTTACTTGATTCGAAGTCTAAAATCAATTTTTCACTATACCTACAGGCAGTCTCTAAATTCCCTGAATTTTTTTTATGGGATGAAATACACTTTCGGTACTTACACATGTTCCCAAAAAACTCCAAATCAGACCCAGGGCCTCCTCGGCCAATTTCAAAATTCTGGCACGGCGGCTCCGTCGTGCTCCAGCGAGGCAGCGGTGATCCGCCTCGGGTTGGCTGTTTTCGGCCGAATTCAGCCAAACTAGCACCAGTTCCTGCGAGAAAACACACGTAAGGCCCTCGGTGGACCAAAAAAACTCAAAAAACTGAGACTTACCGGTGGCGGAGCTCTCGGGTGCGACAGCTCCTCCGGCGCGAGTCGCAATTTGGTATTTTGCTCCGGTCAGCCTGTA